AAAAAAAAAAAAAAAAAAAAAAAAAATAGCAGACTAACTACTGAAAGGCTACTCAATTTAAAGTTGTAGATACTTAAATATCGTTCCATCTCTGTCATTTTACAAAGAACTTCTATTGACAGAACTATACTTAAACGCGAATTATAATCGGACAGCGTTTCAGTATTCGAGCGTAAATCCTTAAGCTTACACAGTCAATGCAATAATATAATAAATATCATAACTTAGGAAATAATGATTTCATTCAATTTGTTTGACTTCAATACCCACGCCAACTATAAATTCAGTGTATATTGGTATATTTAACATGATAAGTACGAGATAAACAACAATTATGGCGCTCCATTCAGTTTTGACTAAACAACCCTGTTATTGCGAGTCAAATTATGCTTTAAGTATCTATTAGTTGGCTACCTAGTAATTATGTGCTTCCTAAGAGATAATTCACTTTCTCGTGGTTATAATTGAAATACAATTGGTGAAAAGGCAATCATATCGTCCCAATTTTTAATACTTCCAGAAATAAGTAAATTATTCTTTTTCATCGTACTAATTCGTTTGTATGTTTGTTTGTTTGTTGGTATGTCACGTCAAAACAGCTGAAGGGATCGGGATGAAATTTAGAACTGGGGTGGATTATGGTCTTGAATAACACATAGGCTACTTTTTATCTCACAAGAACATCGGTGAAGCCGTAGGCAGAAAGTAGTATTTATATTATGGAGTGAGTCCCATGTTATTTTGCTTTGGGCCTATTGCTTTGTAACATCGGGTCAGTAATAGCACGGAGTCTGGAAATGTGCCCGGTATATGGCAATAGGCTCACCCCCTATTACATGGCACTCATACCATAAATAGTGAAATGTGGGTGTTACATTGTACAGTGGCATTAAATATCGTAATGTACACCTTTGCCTACGCCTTCGGGGATAAAAGGCGTGATGTTATATTATGCTTTGGGTCTGAAAATTTTGGGTATGAAAAGTATAATAAACTTTAGCAAGTCTGGGAATAAACCGAAGACAGGAGTTTAAAACTATGGATACGGGTACGGTACAAAAAAGCGACACGTAGACTGGTCAGGTAAAGGTAGAATATACTGAGAGAAAATTTCCTTACAGAAATATTGATCTTATTTCTTTAACTCGATGTACACATATGGGAAAATACAATATTCTTATGTGAATGCAAAATCACGTGCTAATGCTACAAAGCTAATAAAACGTTACGAAAATTTGATACCAAATGACTAACTCATTAAGTAATTTAGTGTTTAACTTTGATAAATGGCCGACAAATAATAAATAAATATGTAGATTCATGTACAAACATCGTTTACACATGTATCTCTCATATTTTACAGTACAGATACACAGTTATGCATTTGTTGGATAAAACATGGTTCTTGTAAGTGAGAAAACATGTTCCCGCCGTTTTTAAAATATGTTTCCAGTGTTGCTACATTAATAAATGATGTAAGTCAATGTTTATATATTTATTTAAGGTGTATGTTAACAAGGTGTCTAGCGTAGTGTTTACATAGTGTCGAATAGAAAAAGTTTAAATAGAATGCATAGCTGTATCTACCTATACATAATAATACATGTCTAGTAGTTTTATCCTGCAACAAAGTTCAGGCAGATCTAACTAAAACTAAACTTATTGCCTCTACATGCTACAAATACTTCACTCGTTTTCATTTCTGATGTTAGCAGACAAAGATGGCCACTTTATTTGTAACCCAAGTAAACCCCACAGAGACTAAAACCTAACCTTTGGACCTCATACTGGGTATTCAGCAGACCCACTAGTTATCAACTTAAAATAAAATTACCCGACCAACAAAGCTACATATTTTGAATTTATAAAAACCTTTTCCAACTTCCCTATTTGTTTTGCAAAGTTATATTAAAAAGTACCTACACGGACAAACATGTGCAGCACTCACCGACATCGTGTTTAGTTTCCTTGTTCTGAATTCAAAAAGTTTTAATTTAAAAATTATTTACCTAGCCTACTTTATTTACTACGGCTGGCGCTGGATCTAAAGTTTTTTTTTTATATTTAATGGGATACCGTTTGGCCATTATCTCGCCTGGTGGTAAGCGATGATGTGGTCCACAATGTAGCACGCCTACCCATGATCAACCTCAGTGGGTTTTTTCGGTAAACCGACATTTTCGGTTTTTACATACAGTTTCTTTAACTATGTTTGTTAATTGATATAATACGGCAGTTCACAGGTAGTCAAATTCAATACTTTTATTGAAATATCAAAAACGATACTTTTTTTTAAATTTTGTATTGGGTCGCAACTTATGACGTCATCATATTTCTGCGTCAAATAGCACATTTTTATTTCCTTAAAATTTGCGAGAAAATATCCAAAAGTAGGTTAATTGTCAAATCTATTTATTACATTGAAAAGTTGAAACAATTTATTTTAATCCTAGGAAACTAGCCATTTGTATCAAACGTAGGTAATAATTATGCTCAGTGTACCTCTGCCTAATCATTGGGTAAGAGGGTATTGCGACGTATTATTATGTATCAATGTCCCGGTGCTTAAATAATGAATACTAATGAGATATACGAAACGTAAAACATTTTCATAATTCCATTCAGTCATCTCTAAATAAATATATCGCTTGACAAAAGATGGAGTAAAAAACATACACAATATTGATTCTGTTGTGAATATGTTTATTATTTTCCTGTTACGGTGCCCTTTCCCTCTAAAAATATTTTATGTCCCATTTTATTTCACAGATAATACTTCCTGCATTAGGTACAGGGACGCACTTAACTTTAATTAAGTATCGTGGAATAGCTTTTACATTTATTATTGCATCGATGCCAAGTACAATCGTGTTCGGAATTGTCCGTACAACTATTTATTTCCTCAATTTACATCACTGAGGCTATAAACTCAATCCGCAGCTTTCATTGTAACTACGGACAAATGGCCAGAGAATAAAACAGATAGAATTAAACTTTTTATGGCGCGGCAAAAAGTGTGTTTATTTACATCATTCATTACGACTTAAGTCGAAGGTTAAATAAAGATTTAATTAATCAGTTAACTCGTTATTTAGTGAGACCTATATATAAGTATTGTTTGTATTTATAATGTATTTACACTAATATCTACGTATACCTATCTAAGTCGGCTAGGTAGTTGTGCAAACTCACCCTCCGTTTTCCCTTCGGCTTTTCCGACGTCTGACTGTGATTCCTCTTCTTCATATTTCCAGCTTTTACTTCCCTCATAATTAAACTAACATAATATTCTACGATTATGTAAATTACTTTCACTTATTAACACTGAAATGTCTCCAACACACATCCTTATCAAACTTGGTAATTAATTTGTTCGTCTGCTTAGGTGTACGTCACAAACACTGAACATTATAGAAATCCAAGGAGGTGGAGGAACTCGGCGTAGTTTTCACTGAGAGCGTTAGTTTTCAGAATGTTCTGAAAATGCGTGTGCGTAGTTTCCCGCGCGGGGCGTAGAGCGAGCGGTCGGAGCGTGCCGGTCCGGTGAGGCGTCGCGCTACGCTTCCAACTTGACGTGGAGTGGGATCCTCCGCGGTCGCTCCCGCCTCCGGGCTCCGCTCGACACGCGGCCGCGTCCCGCCGCCCACTCGCCCCGCGCTACCGACTAACAGATAAGTAAACACTAAATTCTTTCAAAGATAACGACATACTAACCCCTCATAACTCACCCCTAATTAAATCTTAAGATAACAAAGCTTGTGAACGAGGATTAAGCCTATATGACTTTCAAGTTATCAACATAAAATTATAGACAAATTATGAAGTCTCATTTAATCATAGAATTATGAAGATATAAACAGAAATCACTTTAATTCACTTATCTCATTCATTTAAAGGCATGACTGAACTATGTAAATTGAGTTATAATTTTACTAGGCACTCTCGCATAATTTGCTTGAGTGTTACCCTATATTCAAGTGAATTAGAGGATTTAGATGTTAATTGTTAATAATGAAAGTAAGGTTGGCTATAACAAGTTGAGTGTCGCATGCACCGCGCTCGCAAACAGTTAATGATTCTGCTGCAAGATTGCAATAAACGTCGGCTTGCATCTACATCGCATACAAATTATCTAAGCTCTTAGCGCGTAAAGTTGAGAAGTCATTTTATAGGTGTTTACAATTTACTCACCTGCAGTAACTGCGCGTGTAAACCTTGGGGTTACAAAGGTCATTGACGAACCACCACGGATATACAAAGTTGAAATCAATACGAATGGGGATAAACATTAGAATTGCTCATATTTCTCAATTTAGCACTGAAAGCCTATGGAAAAATTCGTGATGTCAGCTCTGACGCAAAGCTCGACAGATTGAGTGGTATCTACGTCAAATACCCGGTCTGTGTTAAAATACTTGTCTATCCAGGCGCTGTGGTGATTTATTAACACATTATGCGAGGCGCGGAAGGATTATCAGGGCTGAAACTGATAATTTTATGCAGAAAATTGCTATCGAAAAACGTATCCTAGAATTAATTAAGGTTTAACTAACTTAAGACTAGTTACTGTAACTTATATAAACACTGTATGAAACTTTATACTTTACTTTGACCGAAACATGGAAAATTATTTTACTATAGAACTCAAACAGTGCATAACCTACCTATTAAGTTACCTAATAAGTAAGGAAGAAGGTTTTCTGACTCAACCGGAGTGATACCACGGCCACATAGAAACAACGCTAGTGCTTCATCGTGTGGGTGAGGTTACCGGAGGCCCAATAACCCCCTTCCCAAATTTCCCCAATACTTGAATCCCCAACAATCCTTAAATTCTTAATCCGGCCGGTAACGCACTTGTAACGCCTCTCTAGTTCTGGGTGTCTATGGGCGACGCCGATTGCTGTTTTTATATATTTGATGGGCCGACGTTCGACCACTATCTCGTCTGGTGGTATGCGATGATTATCATCATCAGCTTACTGCTCAGATGATCCGTCTGCTCGTTTACCGGATTATCCCATAAAAAAAGAAGTTTTCTTACAAAATGGAATGTAATGGAAGTGTCGACATGTATCATAGCACCAAGCTCAATAATGAAGTAGAGACCAAGATCCTTATATTGATCCCAATCCCAATAGACATTGGTAATAGGAAGGAAGGCAGATTAACTCGTCGAGTACCGGTTTTGTAGACACAATTATAGAACAATAGGTTACGGTCACCGGTGACCGCTTGGTGTTTGACAGTTTAAATACTAAGATAGAAGTGTCAGATTTTACTTTTACAACTTTTAATGACTCTCAATTTTACTTTTAGAAACTTCAAGATACCCATCTCTGAAGTAAAAATTAAATAATTTGTTGTATCCTTAAAACCTAAGAATGGAGGCCTGGTATTCTGTAAATTGTCTTTAAACTTAATAAATCCTTACAAAATAACAATGAATATCGTTCGTAACTTTTACTTGAGATTTACTTGACTGCCTCGTTGGCCGAGTGATGCAACTGCCGGACAAGGAGTCTCGGGTTCGATTACCGGGTTGGGCAAAGTATTACCGGGTTTTTTAAAAATTCTCAGTATTAGCACGGAGTCTGGAACTGTCCCCGGTATATGGCAATAGGCTCACCCCCTATTACATGGGACTCATAACATAAATAGTGAAAACTGGGTGTTACATTGTACACTGGTATAATGTGCACCTCTGCCTACCCCTTCGAGGATAAGAGGCGTGATGTCATGTTATGTTTACTTGATATTGTTTGCTTTAAATAAACGTCCATTTTGTAATAATGTGTACATAATCAATGGTTATATAATTGGTGAGAAAATAAACATTCAACTTATCTTTATGTTATTTGAGAACATCCTATATGTTATCCAATCTTCTGACTGAACTAATTGACTGACCTGGGTTTAAAAAGGTTACTGGTAGCTTAGCTTCACTATAAAAGAGCTGTATGATAGGAAATAATATAAGTACTAAATCAGCTCTCATTCCTCAGAAAGCAAGAGCCCTCTACAAATAGAAGTCAATATTAGGTAAAATGCTTTACCAGGCGACTTTAACTGTCGAGATGAATTGACTTTCTCAGCATTCCACTGACATTTATAAACTGTATAAAAGATTCAGAGAAAGCCATATCTTGTACCGTTTGCCGATTTCCCGAGACATGAAAAGCTGCTGCAATCTTATGTTATTGAGAAGACTCGATGAATGCAGACGCTAGCATATCCAGTTCTCCCAATCTTACAATTTCCTTTAACACATTTCCACCTCTAACGTAATATTATAAAGTTCAAATTCTATTGCCGATATTGGACAGTTTCGGTTAGCATCACATGCTGGTATCTACTTTCCCTGGTAGACGTTCGTGGGACGGTACTGAAGGTAATTCTAATTTATTGTTAACGAGCACTTTGCCCTTACCTCATTCGCAGAATTTCTGCTCTCCAAAGGTTTCATCAAGAATTTATTTTTAGTGTTAAATTTGCGTTTAGGAGTCCTATATTTCATATTTTGTATAGTCGGAGGAACGATTGTGTTGATATTTTTAATTCAGCCTCGCTATTTTATTATTTGTTATATGTTGAAGATGCTACGAAAACACATTCAATTAATTCAGTGGAACATTGAACACATTCGATTACTTGCAGAACTCGAGACCAACAGCTGATAATCCGCAGAGACGCTCGCAGATTTTAAATTGCATCAAGTAATTGGTATATTTGCAGTTAGTGTGTAGTATTTTGTCGTAATGATATGGAGGTGCGTTATTCTGCGCATATCTGTTTCATTTCAACGGATGGTTTACTTGTATAAACTTGGCGGCCGAGTCTATTCCGCGTAGTGCGGGCCTCCTGCTAAATGTTTACATTATGCAGTTTGCATGCATCCCTACATCCAGAACGGGATAGCTAAATAAGCTAATTAGAATCGTGAGCTGAATTTTAAAGTCCACCATTGAATTGCAGAATTATCATCACATTTGCATATATTTTAACGATAAGTCGCTAATTGAAAAGATTGAAAAGCATTTGCATAGTTAGCATACTCGTAGGTCGATATAAATTATAAGTCTCGTAAAAATAATTTGAATAGTACTCAAAAGACAGCCCGAGGATAGGATGCAGAGAATTCGCAATCAATCTCTGCCTGCAGACTTTTATTGGCGCTGGAATTACGAATGTAACTAATCGTTTGCATGTGTAGCCTCCCTGCAGAGCTATTTAATCAATTATGCAATGGGCAGTTAGCTGTCATTTGTTAGAATTACTTACTGTAAACGCCGTTCACAATACATTTAGGTCGTAAATCGATTGAATGGTGGCCACCGCGTCAGGGCAGCTTCAAGCACCTATTAGCTAAGTTCGAGCACGACCAAGAACTGAGAACGAATCGATATTTAGTATTTATCATCATAATGACGAGTTATGTCTAGTATCTATGTCAGGCACCGGTCGTTATTGTTGTCTCCAGAGTTCCCTAACAAACGGTATTTACGTTGAACTAGGTCGATAGGCATATCAAAAATGGATTCATTTGCATTAGGAGAGATAGGTATTAATTGAATAAAGGGAGATAAATGATAGGTCGGGTCGGTAGGTACGAGCTTTATCATTGAAGTGTAGTCCCCGAATATTGCAATAATTATATTTCATGCCGCAAAAGCCGCAATTGTGTCATCAAATTGCATTTGTGGATTGCGTTTTTAATTAAAATATTATCACTTACGTAAATAAACGTGGAAGATAATAACAAACGTACTAAATAAATAGCTACTTAAATATCAACATTGTATTGTACTTTTGAATTTAATTATTACTAAGTATTAAAGTGCGTAAATAGGTTTTTGTAGTCCTTTGAAAATGTAAACTCATCGTTTTGTGCTTCATAAAAACAAATAGTCAAAGTCAAAGCATTTATGTCAATTAAACCATAATTTGGTACTTTTGAAACGTCAACAAATACAAAATAAATAATAGTCTGTGTCAGTCAGTCCGTCAGTGAAGGTAGGTGAAGCTAGGTGCTCATTCCAAAATGTAGATTCGAATGGAGAAGAACGAGAAAATAACTCCATTTGTTACTCTTTTTAAAAAAGTCTGTTCTACAATGTCTCTGATACATATTCCAATACTGGAATAAATATTTTTCAATATTCGAATGCTAATGATGTTTTCAAAAGGTTTTAAATAGGTACGTTTCCTACGAAAATTTAAAATATTGAAACAATACATAATTATACTTTCTTCAGTAAACCTTTGTTGTCATTATCGTTGTATAAATAAACGGCATGGTATCTTTACGTTACTCATTTCGTTTGTAATACATGTATACCTAATAAAAAGTATTTCGTAGTAGTATTTGTATGGATACTGGATTTTTGTATTACGTCAGGACTAATATCGTTTTCTGTACTAAACGTTTTAATAAAGCTCGTTATATACGATACCTATAAGAGATTTATTTTTTACAGGTCTGTCTGTCTCATTGTGAGTATTTATAAGGGCCTATGTGTAGTATTATCCGAGGGAGTTTGTCCGACTCTAATTTCAAAAGAAATCTCAAAGGAAGAAAGGTCCTTTTTAGTACGTGGCTCATTAATAAGGCATACGGGGTAATT